CCTATTTTAACAGCAGTGAGTGAGTTGGTTTAGTGTGTTGACCCATTCACTTATTCGAGTTGTATCAACTCTGATAGATCAGTGATCAATGAAACCTCTGCTCCATAGCAAAAAGCTTCCTTACGCCGTTTATGACACTGTTAGAATACTCCACTGACTATTTAAGGCCAAGACAATTTACCTGATGATACTGTAAACTTTCGCCGAGTCACGTGGCTTGAAAATATGCTACATATGCCTGGTCACTGTTTACCTAATCATTTAACGTTAAATGTAGTAGGTTCAGGCAGAAAAACGGTTATAGATGGCATATATCGATTTGGCATCAGTTCATACAGTCTCATTTCACTTTCCACAAATATATAATATCTTCTACTGAACTTGCAAGGTAGATGGAAATGTACGAATAATTAATGGTGAACATTCATTATGCTCAGATTGGGATATAGTCTACATTGATCCACTTGTTGTAATCCCTTTTATTCTATAGTCAGTGCTTAGGATTTATTTACACAAATAGAAACTAGAAAAAAGTTATTAAATCCAACACAGAACAGAAAAATACAAAAGAAAAATGCCATTCCTCATGCAATAATACTACTACGATTACCAATATAATATATTATATATATATATATATATATATATATATATATATATATATATATATATATATATATCTTAATTGTCACTATGATACTACTCTCGATACCGGCAAAGGGCTTAGATGGTGAAGGTGACCCAGAAGTCCTTGGTACTGATAATATTTCAGTCATATTTGAGAAATCTTCTGTCACTGATGTTGGTGTCATTATTTTTGTTGTCCATGTCCATGTCCATGATGCCTCTGCCAATGTTGTCATCATAGTTGTTACTATCGCTGATGCTATCCGTATAGACGAAGTAGTAGTCGTAATAACGGATTTCGCCATCGTATTTATTTTTACACTTGAAACCGCTCGTGTCTCCATTGCTAGGGTCGTTATCATCGACGATGCATTCGTAAACACGTTCTGTTAAACATAGTAAGATTCATTCTTTTTTGCTAGATTCCACTGTATATTAGTAGTATGGATACAACTGACAAATGTACTACTCAATGTCAATAATATACCTGCAATTATGATAACTATATTGGCTTGTCCTAATGTATGAGCTGGCTGAAACAATAAATAACCTGGTTGAATAGTTAACAGATGACTTAATATATTCGAAAAATTATGTGCCGGAAAACTGCTACAACGATCCACTTGAAAACTGAACATATTTTTTTTCATTTTTGTTCCATCGGCTACCAAATACTGTCAAAGAATAAGCTGACTAGATATTTCGGTCACCCATAAAATACTAGTTAAAATCAATATATAATGTAAGCCACCAAATAAAGTAAACGTTGCTGTAAATAAAGTTAAATATGAGCATCCTATCCAGTAGCTTTTATGATATAATTGTTCTTGAATAACAATCAGCTGTACTTTCCAGTAATACAGAATTCAGAAAAACTGATTAATTCCGTAAAAGATAGTTTATCGTTTTGTCATATACTCACCAATTGTATGAAATCTCAAAGTTTTTAAATGATACCATCAGAAACTACATATAACCAACAATAATACACGATAGATATAATTTAAAAGCACGCGAAAAGTGTTCGGAAATATTATTTCATTATATAATGACAGACAAAATAACTGAGACATAGTTATAGAGATTGCGAATGCATTACAAAAATATTTTATTCCTCCATTGTATAAAAAGTTCTCTACTTCAAACTTAGTTGTGTTTTTTTTGCACATTATGTTTTATCTTGCAACAGAACGAAATTATATAACAGATAATATATCTACCATCTAATACAAAAGTAATTATTAAACATGATATAGAAAGTGTCAACATGTTGAACAGAAAGTGGGATTTGAAGGCCAATAGAATTTATATATGGAATAGTTTAAATAAGTTACTATTGGTATTCCATTAACATTCCATTAATGACCTTCAGATCTTTTCAAAGTTCGATTATAGCTACAACTATCCCTAATTAGATGAACAATTATTGCATAAAACATGTCTACAGAAAAATAAAAGTCAGCAGTGTAACATTAAAAAATTTGAATACAACATTTAAAAAGAATGATTAATAAGAATGGTTCAGTCACACGGGTAAATGAAAATAATAACTATGAGTTTGGCGCATCACGAAAGGGATTTCCAACAAAATACAGACATTCATCAACAACTGCTTACGCTGGCTCGCCACTGAAGATCAGATGGATTGCCAGAATACTAAGAATAAGCAACAAGGAACTCTGGCTGGGTAACGAACCAACCAAGAACCTATCACCCAACAAATATGTACTGGAAGGAAGTGGAGATGGGTTGGATTGAGCATACACTGAGAAGGCCGATTGGGGCTGTCACGCACCAGGCTAGGTTGTCGAGTGGAACTCAAATGGGAAACGACGAGTTGGGCGTCCGTGGTGAGGGTGACATGGTGGAGATCGTGCGAGGAGGAAATGAGAGCTTGTGGGCTGTCTTGGAGCCAGGTTCAAAAGATTTCAGAGAACAGAGTTCACTGGAGACATGCTACTGAAGCCCTATGCTCCATTAGGTACCCAATGGACAAGTAATATATAATAAATAATGCTGAATCCAACACATCATATGCGAAACTTCATATGTCACAAGCTAAACATGATAGTTTTTAACTGAATATCAGTGAGCAGAATTTGAGGAAAAAATGTGGCACTGATACAAATGTTGGATTGGCTGCCTTGCAGTATATACAAAGACATTTTCAAGGTCGCAGTATTTTGTGGACTCCAAGACACCGTGATACTTAGCAATGTAGAAGAGATTTTCCTTGACATTAGACAACTCTATTTCCATTGTGTCTTGTGATCGATACAGTTGCATAAGCTCTTCATTCCGGCATAGTCTATAGCTAATTAGGATACGTCATTTATTCAAAATAAGGTTCCTGCAACTCTTCAAACAAATTAACTGCTTCCCAGTTCTTGGTATTGGCTTTAGCTCTTTCATTCTGTGGAAAGCCTTGTCACATATAAAAATAGTATTCATAGTTCTCCTCTAGAAACTGTTTTTGTTGAGTACCAGTATTAAATATCGACTAGTAACGCGAGGTTAAACTACTGATGCCCATACGAAAATGTTTTGGGACATTCAAAGTATTCAGTGTCTACAGAAGAAAACAGCTCATTTTCAAGTTTCGCTGAATACTAGCAGGATACATTTTTACACTCATAAACGAGTGTCGAATAATTCGCTTTGCACACATCCCTATCTTGAAAGCATACAATTGTAACTTTCTAATATATTTTAGCTGAACATATTTTACTTACTTATTGTGTGAATTTAAAAGGTACTGATCAACTTAACCCGTGTCTTTTCAGCAGCATGAAGCCTTTTTTTAATTTTTTCGTTCTTCATTTTCAAGAAGTCCAGTAAAGTGGTTACTTGACAATGATATAACTTGAAGAACTCGTTTAGGAATCGCTCTAACTGAAACTCAAAAGTTTCTAGTTAGAAAACTATAGTGTAAAGCTTGGAGTGACACAGGACAACTGCACCTGAAACTGATAGCTAATGAAAATCGAAAGCCATGCTTTCAGTAAAAACAGCTTTTTAAGTAGTTCTCTGAGCTGGTTGATGTAATCATGAAGCTTTCATTGTCTTTCTAGACAATACCGTCAGCACTAACTTATGTCAACAGTACTTGCAAGTTTACTTTTGATGTGAAAGTTGACGACTTGGATACTATTGTATTTTTGATCTTCCTCTCAGCGGAAGTCACTGGATTTTTAGAAAGTTAGACATTAAATTTATCCATAAAAGAATAAAATAAGTGACTCGTCATAACCACTCTCTGTTAGATTTAACGATTTCAGACATCTAAAAAACTTGCAAAATGGTCATTTATTTAACTGAAGATACTACGTAGGCTAACATCTGCATGGTGACGAATAAACAACTGAACAAATAAAGAAGCATTAGAACTAGACTTCTTACGTATATTTTTCTCTCCAGTAGATTCGCTAAACAGTTTCCATATACTGTATGAGTACGTTGCATGATAAGAACTTCTGTTTATCAAGTGTTTCCAAACCTGAGATACTGTCAGATAGAATCAAAGATGAACATAGGGTGTAGCACACAATTAAGAGTCACTTGAATACGTTTTAGGTATATTTTTACATGAGACATAGTTACAGAAAGTGTGTTGGCTGAAAAGATCCTTTGAGGTCGAAATAAGACAATAATTAGTTTAGGGGTTAGATTTGCATCAAGCTTCCTAGCTTATTAAGAGAGTTGCATTACTCTCGTCGCAACCCCTGGAAGCTTTATGCTAGTTATGGTTTGCACATTTCCCTCGTGACATACAGCAGACCGAAAGGATATATTTCTATCAGACGTTTTGTCTGATTGTTTCAATTCTTAGTCAATGATACCAAGATTTTACTACCTATATGATAATCATAACACCACTTCATAAAACCAGTGGATCTAATAATAAATTCAGATGGATTCAAAAAAGAGAACACTTTAATTGACTAGTTCGAATACGCAAGCGCATCAGATCTTCGAAAGCAGTATTACGGCGAAAGTCTCTTGAGCAATAGATTTTTAGTATGAAACGCAAGTGGTTTAATGGGAAAGGAGAATTCTATGTGCACAACCTGAGCTGGGAGAGCAGTTTCTTCCAAAAACAGTACCGAAGGCTACTTTGCGCTAAATTTTGGTTTACTGACATACGCACAACGTTCTTTATTATGTGAGGTTAGTGTCTGTAAAATTAACAGATTGAGAAACAATAAGCCAATAATCGTATTGCCTGAAAAGGCACACATCAACATTTATGATTGGATAGTCAAGGTCATTTCCTCTGTCTTTGAAGTGTAATAGGCTGATAATTCGCTTGTTACGAAAGAGATCAATAGCACATTCACCTTCAAAATCATTGTTCAGGTGATTCTGCCCTAGTTATGAAGCTTATAAGGGTCAATAGACAGTACATTTCATCCTGTGACATTTCTTCATTCTTCATTCAAAAATTATTTCGATTATTAAAGTAAGTTCAAAATTTATAGATTGGCAACTCAAATTTTACGCTTGTTTGGTTTCAAGTTAAATTATCACATTCAGTTCGGTGCAAGTTCATTTTTAAAACAGTATTGGACTGAAACCGATTACTTTCAAATCATATATTAATTTGCATTTCGTTGTGTTGTGATTAATTTTTTCCCACTTATTCTGTTTCAAAGATCTTAAACTTGAGCAAATGTAGGAAGCTGGTCTTAAATTCTACAAGTGAGCTGAATAAATCACAATGGCTTCTAAAAAAAAGCTCATGTGTTTATCAGTTTTTGCCTGAATACAGTGTAAATGTGAATATTTGAGCATATGTAATTAGATTAGTTCACTTCAAGCAATACCGGTGTTACTACTTTGAAACAAATGGACCTTCTATCTTTAGGCAAGTACAGAATGAGGAATCAAGGAACACATATATTGTCCACTTTGAAGGTCACTGCTTGAGGGTACTCCAAAATTCTTAAAAATTACCTGTTCTGCATTTTAGTGTTGCAGCTACACTAATTTTGTGAGACGACACCGTGATCAGAACTGCCAACTTTTGTTATTTCTTCCAAAGATAAGACGATTACATGTTCTTGTTAATAATGAGTAACTCGGAAAATATGAAAGTGATGTTCATTTCAGCAGATGATTTCCACATTTTGATAATGACCGGTTGCATTAACGTTTTGAGTCTACTTTCAAAAATGTTAGTTGTTTATTCTTTTTCGAAGATGCTAGTTGATCATTGCTAGTTTTTTGAAATTTTGCATTCAATAGCCTCTAGATTTCCTGAATAAGTTCTGACGCTATATGTTAGAATAAACACCTTAGAAATTAACTGGTTTCATCAGGTCCATCCTCAAGAAAGCGTGAATGTTAAACTTATCATATGATTCATGCCATTAAAGTTACTGATTTCGGTGTAATCCTTGGATATTTTTTGCCTTTTGGAACACCATTTCACACATCGTTTTGTGATGTATATTTGGAGGAAGATGAGATAAGGTTTCTTCAGGTTTATGCACACCGATTATGAAGATGCATTTTTATTTCGGAGAAATTATGCACCATACGAGAAACCAATCCATGTTTACTAGCACTTGCAAAAACTGGTAACACTGAGGTGTTTAGATTACAATTAAACTTATAATAATAATTCACTTTATTCCAAACAATTTTTGGTACAATTTGCAATTCTCAGCCTAATATATATTGCAATAACATCAAAATGTAAGTATATACATACTACTTTGCAGCCTTTTGAATTGTTTTATTATAAAAATTTAAGTTATGTGAAGAATATTAAAAACGAGAAAATTTTGCATTGTAAGTTAAATTATTGAAATGAGATTTTTAACTGGTTGTATACACCTATCGATTTCTAAACAGTAATCGACAATATGGTTCGATCTTCAGTGCATCTTTTCAACTGACAGGTATGAATCAGAAATATACTCATGGCAGTTAGACAGCTACTGGGTATGTGAATCTTTGCACTAGTAAATCTTGAGGAGGTGCTGAGAAACTCTTGAGGTTTTTTAATTTCCGACGTCACACTATTCCTAGTTTTTCTGAAAACTGTTGCAGTGAGACTAAGGATTAACAGGCAAAATATGTTAGTACAAGCAAATAAATAAAGAGGAGAGTGTTACAGAGGTGAAAATATATTAATTACGTTTCGTCTTTCTTTTCACACTTACATTTCAGACTGAAAAAATTTCTTACTTAAATCAAAAAGAGAACTTAAGAAACTACGGTTAGCGTTTTCACTAAATACATTTGAAATATATGTTACCAAGGCGATCTTAATGCTAAACTGCTTCAAAATTTTAAATTTTGCCGAAAGTTGACAGTCTTTTAGAATACTCACCTACCTACATTCTCATACTTTTTGGAGCACTCAGTTTATGCAGAGTTTCTGTCTTTGGCATGATCGCATAGCATAATAGAAAAGTTAAAAGATGCTGAACACAGTTAATTCTAACTGGCGTCTCATAGGTGACCTTGTAGGTATTTTATTGATTAGGATACGAAACTCAGTTCTGTAGTTACCTGTTAACCACTCAATAAAGGTTGTCAATGATTTTTTGCCCATTTTATAAAAAAGGCTGTTGGTTTCAATGAAGTGATCTCTAGCTAACAACAGGTATGGGTCTACTGTAAATACTTGTACCATAGATGGTTAGTGGAGCAGTTAACCGCAGCACGACAGATGTGATCCATATGCTTGAAAAGCTTCAGTTATTTTTTTATTGTAACTCCGTTGCAGCAAGAATTAACTAGTGTTTGTGCATAGAGACAGTAAAATATATATCTATGAAAATAAAAGCCGTAATGGAAATGACAAACTTATCAGCATCATAATTTGATAAAATGTTACATTGGTAGCTGGTTTCTAACAAGGAAATATACTTCTTGAGTGTTATGGCTAGTCAATGAAATGAGTGCATAGAATATTTCTGAACTCTCGGTGGAATCTTCTAGAACGATGTGTAAAGTAAATGGAAATTTTTTTTCCCATACTTTGTTATCACTACTACACATCTGCTTTATGGAATAAGGTTATACTTATAGCGCTTGTCATAAGTTAATCTGAAGTCATATCTTTTGAAATGTGCGTCTACAACAAGGCATACAGGTAATATCACTAAACTACACTTACCGTATTTCTGACATTCTGATGCTATAAAACCAGCTTAGTCATAGAAATGATGTGATGAAGGGATGAAGGGATGAAGCGACTCTCAAAAAGAGATGTATTAATTTACCAATATATAACTCAGTAAGCATTATATTTGTAATAGTTAAATTTAAGTAGATGTGTACTGTTGGGGAGTCCCATACTAAGAGGAAACAGATGTCCAGTGCTCCCAGGTGTTCTTTTGTTCTCTAACTGATGTCCGTCCTTGAGGAATACTTCCTTAAAAAAAATCTCCACTAACTTCAAAATGCATGAAATCAATCTACCAGATTTTCCAGACATATAAATCAATCTATTCTATAATTCCTGTATTGTAAAACTTCGATGAATTTCTCCACTAATCTTAATCACAGTCTTATGTTTAGCCTCAGTTTAGCATATGTTGTTTGGTGTAGCTACTTGGTTTCAATAACTGTGTTGAAGAATCACCTGAAATAACGTTCTTACAGAGTTATGGAATAAAATTCATTCATGAAACAGAATATTTCATAGCCAAGATATATTCCAATGGAAATTTATGATTATAATCTTAAAATTCTACTGCTTTACAGTCTAGTTTACTCTAGTTAATGAATAACAGACTAGGGTATTCTGACTGCATACATGTAATCTAAAACATGAAATGATGAAAATGAAATAAAAAGATTAATAGTTACGATGATAATGCAATGATGTGATTATTATCACTAACAAACAAATGGTTTTTACCATATGAACTCTTTATAAATCCATGTCAATTTTCAGAATCGTTTTGGACAAAAAGCTCTTCAGGTAACCTGTAAGCATGCTTATATTTGTTATACCCCATCTGCACTTCATTTTCATTGTCTATTACTTACAGAAGTACAGAGAAATCCTGACAAAGACACCTTTATGTCATACTAAACCTACCAGCTGTGTCTGGGCTGATTAAATCAGTATTTCTTATTGACACGTTTGAAACAACACTTTTAGGGACAGTGACATTCCATCAACTGTTAGTATAAAGATGATTTCAACGCTACTTGTATGCAGTATAACCTTGACCAACACAAGAAGAAGTCAGTGGAGGAAAAAAACTTCACAGCTGCTTCCTGGTATTATGGGAATTTTACAGGTGTTAGTTACTTCAAACATTCTATTCAGAATGTGATGTACTAGGAATATCATAGAAGAAATAGTCTAATTTATCGCGTCAGAAAGAAATTATTAGAACACCTATCTGGTAGCCAGTGTGAGTGGAAAATACAGAAAATCTTTCTAACTGCTTAAAGTTTAGGAAATAATACTTTTTCGTTCTTTATTTCAATGTTACTTTATGAATCATTTTTCAGGCATTATTTTGCAGTCACGAATTTAATATTTCAAAATATGTTTTGTTTAGTAGTGGCTAAAGTCAGATGGTGAACTTCGATGCCGAGTCTAATGAACACAGGCTGCCAACATTATACAGAGACTTGGAGATTAAATAAAGTTCATATTTCAAAAGTTTGTAAGGTATCCGTAAACCAAGTAATCACCTGTGATATTTTGTACATCTAAGCAGTTTTCTGGTAGTCAACCTTAGTTTTGCAATGTTTTGGTGATGGGAAGGTTAACTCACCTGTTTTTAGCTACGATAAAACCGATCTTGAGAAACATATCTTTTCCATCAATTCGAACTTCGCTTGTAGTATTTTAGAATACGTTTCATGAAAGTGGAAAATGTATCAAAACATCAAATTGTTTTGTATCATTTCCAAAGTCTGTGAAGACTTTTGTTGTCTGTCGGAAGCAATTGAGATACGTCTCCAACAGTGCTTCAGAACCTCAAATTATAGCTCTAATTATGAGTTTTGAATATAAGCGGTATAGATATCCCTACTGGTTCGCATAATGCAGATATCAATAGCTCCGCAGTAGACTGGTTTCTTATCTCTTGTTCAACAAGTGAATCTTTATATGAAAATTAGGTATGGTTTTACCTGTTATCGAAAGCATGATAAACAGTAAAGTTTATTACTTATTCATTCATTACTTATGACTGGTCACTTCAAGGATGAGATGATTTTAAGAATTTTTGGTTGTGCCCCTTTTTATGCAGCAGTTATCTTCTGAACTCACTTTCCAACCATATTTAGTACTAATCGATTCACCTGGGATATGTTTATTAGAAATCGATGAAAGCTTTGAGAGTTCTAGCAAATGGGTACCTATGAATCGAATAGAAGATGACGATCACGTTTAATTCAAAGCCACTTAATTATATTTCGGTTGTTATTTCAAACATTAGAAGGGTACCATATGCTTAAATGTATTGGAAAGAAGGGTTTGAACATCATATATATACTCCAGGTTTTAAATCTGCCTACAGCGTATCCTTAATTTCACCGCAGATTTTAATTTGCCAGAATACGATGCAATTACCTGGAGAAAAACAACTGTTTTTATCTCATTTCACAGTTATGTAAAAACTTAATTCTATTTTCCTGACCAATGTATGGTGTGATGAATAAGAGGAAAAGTTTCACTTCTCCATGGCGTGTAGAATATGTTGCTTACCAAAATCTAACCAGTATATCAGCTATTCCAATTTTATCTTTACTAAAAATTGAGGATATTAGTATTTGGTTATTAGTAATTATTATTAATAGTTATTTTCTCGACCCAAAATTCATTACTCCTAAAATTCATACAAAGGTTGTTGATATCCTCATAAAATTGTAAAAATTGGTAAAAAATCGAGACGGACACGTAGAATTAATTAGGACGTGAACAGAACACATTCACTGCTTAATATTGATTCTCTTCAGAAGCGATTAGTGATGTGCTCAACAGGGTCTAGTAAGATCTTTTGGATTGTCAGTTTCATTTTTTTCAGGAATAAAGATATAATGTCATTAACTTAGTGGTAATATTGTGAAGATCCAGTCTTGCTTTGAAAGCATCAAGAGCGAGTGTAGAGACATTGCGCTCTGGTATAGAGTTTCACTGGCTTGCAACTCTATGTGATAAATTTACTTTCAAACGTACACCATCCCACAATGGTTTGAACTTTTTGACGATATTCTTTGAATGAACATTTCTAGAGAGATGAGAATAAGTTGAATGCACATAACATGAATTTAAGATACTATATGCCGAAATGACATCACCCTCTCTTCTATGGTAAGATATAATCTACTCAGTGTTTCTTCTTTGGAGTGCTTCAAAGTTCTTTGACAATCATGCTTCCCAGTCTATCGATTTAAGTTCAATCTTTCCACTTCATAGATGTTAGTTGCATTCGCAGTCATTAAGTGCACTACGTAAAGTAATGTCATGTATGACTACTCATGGAGCCTACGAAATACTAGAGTATGTAAAGGCAAAAAAGTATAGAAGTTTTGACTTACCAGTAGTTTTTTTGCTGCTTCTTTAAATAGTGAACAATGTAAGTACTTACACATACCTTAAGTTTTTGTGATTTGTAAATGACGTTCCCCAGTTATAGGGAACAATGAGCATTAGAGGATAAACTGGATTAGTAACACAACTGTTATTTTGACCGAATATCAGATTTATCTCATTTCATTCACTTCAACCCACATGTTAAGATCTGCAAACATGACTGTGGTTAGCATTCGGTATTGTTGAGTAACGCATTTCAGTTAGATTACGGTTGGGCTTGTGCAATGTATGTTGTCACCACTTTTATCTATCGGTGTTCCGGGACCTATCTGGTTTTATTTTATCCCTAGCATTCTGCATCTCACCTTCATACTGATCTCATATTTTCACAAAGACATTAATGATCAAGTATCTAACAAGCGGAACCCAAAATGTTTGCTGAACGCACCGTACATTCTTGCTAGTTGAACCAGTAAGTTAAATGAAATGATAATTCCTGATAGACAGACAAATCAACGTAGAACCTCTCGCACAAGTGCATCGACTCAATTTGCCCCACTTCCCAGTCGTGCAAAGAATAGGTGAATGGAAAAAGAATAATATCAAAATTAACAAAGTTGTGTGAGAGAATAAGGAATTTGAAGATAAAGCTTAATGCGAATATTCAAGCTTTAGAAAATGCCAACAAGTGAATACATCTGCGCCATTAAGACTAATCTTCAACCATGTCACCACATGTCCTTAACCACTGATTATTTTTGTGTCAGGGACCCCGAACAGTTAGTCTACATCTCCTGATATGGCCAAAGCCAACAGTCAGAGACTTCATCGACTGGTGTCACGTCTTGGTCTGAACACTCTTCCAACCTAATCCAACTTCACTTAGCACGGCATGTCGAGGTAGGTGGTGGACTGACATGCGTAACACATGTCCAAGACATCTTAGTCTACTGAGGTTAACAACCTCATCAATCCACTTGCTTTTTTTCCGATTACCCTGACCTCAACACTGCTCAGACAGCGGTGATTCCATCATACGCGAACAAGGCTTTGAAGACACATATGATCAAAAACTTATAGCTGCCTCATGTCCTCTACTTTCAACGACCATGTCTCACAACCGTACAACAGGACAGAACGGGTTGCAGAGCAGTATACTCATCCCTTACCAGACAGAGTCGGATATCTCTCCAGTGGGCCTCAGAGATGACGCAAGTTGGCCAATGCCAAACGGACCTTCTGTATACGAGATGGGATTCTGTCAACAACCATATTATTCAAGCTGGTGCAATTCCCCGAGCAAGTAAAGCGATCGGTATGTTCCACCACTTGACTCCCTATTAATAAGGTGGGAACAGCTGAAAAGCAGTTCTGGAGCATCACCTTACATTTGACAGGTGCCAAAAATATTCAGATTTCTGATGAACACGTACAAAAGACGCTGCATTTTGTCAGCGTCCTCACCTAGCTGGACAATATCGTCTGCGTACTCCAAGTAAACCAGATGACCTCCAGGCAGTTGGTCAGTCCCTGTGACGTCAGACGTACTTAAGATTATGTCCATTAGTACATCTAGAACGAAGTCAAATAGTAACAGTTACAGTGGTCTTTGTCGTCAATTCTGTCCATAAGCTCTCACGCGGTTATGTGAATTGGAGGAAAGAGATTCAATATGCATGATATACTTGCTTGGTACTCCCTTCAAAGTAAGACACTGCCTCAACACCTCATGGTCGATAGAGTCAAATGCCACCTCCAGATCAAGTGTGAGTGTTGGTTGCCATTAGGAGGCCTATGTTCTGTCGGAGGATAAAAATATGATCCACACACCCTTGTCCAGGACTGAAACCAACTTGATTTTCTCAAGTTTGTATCAAAATCTTGTCTCAAGGACTTCACAGCGGCTGAAGGTATAGCTTGTCAAAATGTTTCTTTGTTTAAATTAAGATGTGTTGATGCAAAACTAGTCTTGAAACACCAGTCTGCACATTCAGTTCTGATGAATTACGTGATATACTTTCAGATGTTTCTCTGTGAGTACTTAGAACAGAGGGTATGTGATAAGCAGAGCTGTTCTAGTAAATGGATAGAAAGACTAGTCTTCTTAGGACTGATTCAGTAAATGCCTTCAGGACATCTTGGTTGAAAAAGCTAATTAATAATTCTTCCTACTGAACGCTGTTTTAATGCCTACTCACTTTGTTTAAATTTTACGCTGTCATGCTGTTCAGATATACTTGCAGGTAAGACAAGAAGGTCTCCTTGAGTAAATTTTTTTTCCAGTTATGCAACCTATGATATTCAGGACCTACTAAGTTCATTTGAACAGTCTAATTAGGAGTCACCTACATATTTGGATGACACAAAAGTCTAAATTTATTGACAGTTTTCTCCCAGTTACAACACCTTTGCATAGTATAAAAAATGATGTGGCGCTGTGAATTTGGCGAACTCATTTTACTTCACGGTGTCTGATGAGCCCCAAGCAACAAGAGACTACAGTAGTCATTAGATTCAGACGACGTATTTGACCTCTAATCCCCATTGGACTAAATGAAATACTTCCATATGCTAGATTCAGATGAATGCACTCCATTTCATATGATATCTACTTCCTCAAACGGACTCATCTTTTGCATATTTTCAGATGCCTGGAATCGTTATGGACAGAAATACTGGATCTACCATTGGCACCACACCACACGGCCGGTGGATTGATCAGCAACAATACCTAGTCGAAACTTACCGTCAGATTCGTACTAACCTAGGCCAGTTAGAAGCTGAAATAGAGGCTGCTCGATTAAGAGTCACTGATTGGACGCGACTTCGTCGACATCCCAGCAGAAGCAGAAGTCTTAGTCACGCTAGTGTTTCAACTACTGCAAGTAGTTTGCTTAGCTGTAGTACATTTGAAAGTGGTGCAACAGATGCTTCATATTTAAATGTTGCAACAGACGGTACCACAGGCTCATCATGTCATTCTTCCTGCTCATCAACGTGTGGTATTCAACTTCCTCCAGAGATGGCAGCCAAACTTAGTGCAGCCACACTAATTTCAGCGTTTTTAGCTGCAAGTCATGATTTTAGTCAGGATAAAACTCAAGATTCTATCGTTGCAGATACAGTAAGCCAGCCTGTTAGAGCCCAGACTCCAGATCAATATTCATCACCCAACAGATCTCGTTCTAACCGTTCAGCCTCACCCTCATCCCACTGAAGAGCAATACCACTTGAGATGAGGTAAACAGTCTCAGGGTATTGGGTATTTTCAACATCTCCATGTGATTGAAAGTCAGTGCATATATTCACATATATATTTCAAAACCTTTCAAAAAATAACCATTTTGCCATGCAACTCAAGTGAATACTTTGAAATGAAACTAAAACACATGAATTAAAATACATACGATTTTTACTGAACTTATATATGAATTCATTTACTCGCTCACCATCTGTTTTCTGGCCATGTTCATGTTCCAATTTTCCGACTTTTGTGCAGTTGTCTTTCATGAATATTTATACTGTACTTCATTATAAAGAAATCTGAGGGTAAAATTTTTTAAATAAATGATAAATTGTTCATTTTTCACTGTATAGTCATCTTTTTCTACATAGGGAAATTTGTTTTAGGAATCCTGTCTGTGCGACAGTGATTAAGAAAGAAAACAGGCTATCAGATGATTGAACATTGAACCGCTGGTGGATATTATGATTGATATTCCCTTATCGTTTTTTGGTTTTTCCTCTTCACACATGTGAAAAAAAGCAGTCATACATTTCTGTTATTCCGAAGGAATAAAATATAGTGTGTAAAAGAGAGAACGATTTTCAGTTTACTGCTTTCGTCTGTGCACATCAGGCATCGTGATTTCTTTTGTACCATCAATTTTTTATTTGCTTATCTGAAGTGTTAACTTTTTCAAGAAAGGGAAGAAAGAAGGCTAGTTTATAATTCATATCAAGTTTACATAACTGCCAATATTGTTGTTTAAAATGTTGTATTCTTGCATATATGTTTCTGGATTTTTTATGTTTTCGGTTTTGGTAAAAAAAAACATTATGATGTATTATAATTTCCTTTCTGTGTTTTGTCGATTCGGATATTTCGTATACAGTGTATGCAAATTATATTTAAAATCTTATGTTAAGAATCTGGTTGAATAAGATAGGTCATATTGGTGGCGCAAAAAAATAGAAATATGTTTTCATTACAGTTTTGAAGATGATGTTGCTCGTAACCAGACGCCATTGAAATGATAAGCATGTGACAACTACACCCGACCGACTAGTTCCAAACAGAACGAAACACGCCTTCTTTATTCCACTGCTAGCCACTGTCCATCGTTGCTAAAATAACTTGTTTGCTCCACACAAATTTTTATATAATTAAACTAGACTTTAATGCTCAGGGAAAGCTTGTTTCGTATACTGAACTACAAGTATTTGCCATTGTAATTACAATAACCGTTCTGAAATATTATTATACTGAATTATTTTTGTATATTGATGGACAGAGAATCGCTGTAAAAAGAAATAAGTATTGCTGAAAACTTTACATTTCCAACCAAGTAAGGGTGATTTCTTGTATTCCAAATAAACATTTCCGAGCGTCTCTTCATAGCGATATCTGTGAGCAGTCTTTAATAGCAATAATTCTTATTATTTTTGGTCATTGGGATGCGAGTCATTTGACGAAATTCCTCATTCCAGTTTCGATGGCTTATTTAAGTATTTGGTAAATTTGATATAGTCTCCATCATATATGCTAACAGACAAATCCTAGGTTATAGTGGCAATTAGATAAAGTATAGTAAATTTACTATGGTAGTGATACTTGCAATTTTCCGTTGCTATATAGGGCCGAATTACAGCAACTGACACCCGTTTCACAACAGGTGTTCATCATACCCCAGTTACTTAGTGGATAACGCTCTGGCGTTTGAAGCCAAGGCTACTGGGTTTGAGCCTCGGTGGGAAAGGCATCACTCATTGGAGTGCAGGTACATCCAGCTGACGAGTCCCAGATAAGATGAAACTTGCATCCTGGATTCCTCCGCTAGTCGCCAAGATCAGTATAGTAAATTTAGTTGGAATAAAGCATTTAATTGATGATATGAACACATTCATGGACGGTGGGTTTATATTAGTCGTGTAAAAATAAAACAAACTGAACCAGCCTCAAAGAAGAATACCACGCGTAGCATTTCAGGTTGGTATTCATCATGGATTGGTATCAGTTGGAGAAACATGGGATCCTGAGAGCACTGGACGGCTTTTTCATTCTGGTATGGGGCTCCTCAGCAGTAAGCACCCATGACCCTTCCAGAGATCGAACTCAGGACTTTCAGGTCACATGACTAACACGTTACCAACGAACCACTGAATTGGTACCCAGTGGTCCATATTTCCTATTTCTGTCAGTTCACGGTAAACCGCGATCTCCATTCAGTGTTGTTGTTGAGTAACTCTCTTCAAACTCGACTTGGTTGGCCTTACTGGTCGAGACTTCTCATCAGAACTTCAGGAATCACCTCTCGAAGCTAGTCACCGATGAACATTTGCTATCTGCAATATGCTGTTTGTCTTGATTCCCGAATTTGCATTCACCTTTATTTCTCGCCGTATTTTCCTTAGCTTGTATAATTCATTGATTTTCTTCGTTTCATAAGGATATGCATAATTTGTTTAACTAATTTTGGTTATGTTCATGTTCTAAGGACTTATTAAACAAATGTTTGTGTACTGTGACCAGTGGTAGCTAGTCCACGATGGTACAACGAAAATATTCATACTGCTTTGTTTTCTACGCACTAGTAGTCACCTCAAAGTACTCAGAATAACCGGTCCCCATATACCTTGTGTTGTGTTATTTCTAACCTTTGGTGCAGTCATCTGGCATCCTTCGCTGTTCGCTTTCTTAACTGAATCATGTTGTTTTGCTACACACTGTTAAACTGCAATATGACCTTTATACACTGATTTAAAAGCTCATTTAAAAGGAATGAACAGGGTCTGAAATACTTATTTGAAGTATGGAACATGCGAATATTTTTTTCTCTGATAAGGTATTTAGCCCCTAAGATTTGAACTAGGTTGAGCGAACCTGGCCATGGACATCCATTTCAACAGTAATCATCTATACAAAGCTCGATTATGCTCAGCGATTTGATTGAAATAAATATCTAGTGAGCAGTTGGGTCGCGTAGCTGCTCCACTCGATCTTCTTATCTGTAATCCAGGACTGGCTGAAGTGTATCCCTCAAAGATCAGTATTCTTGGATTTGTATATTTATATGTTACATTGTATAGGTTGAAAGGAAAATTCTTCTAATGTGAGCTGGTTGAAGGCAATTGACAGAGAGTGCTGAAACGAGGTTTCATACTCATCGACATTCATGAACAAGGCATATTTGTAACCTTGTGGGACCAATGCCTCTTATAGCATGTAAAAGATATGTTGATTCCATCTAGATAGCTTGGAAGATGCTATGATACTGAAAACTAGAGGAGATCTTTGATCTAGTAAACTGAAATAATTTGATACACGTTTTGATCATATAAAAAGAATTTCCACTTTTTAACTATGGAATCTGTGTCCATAGATTTCGATGGGCGTCAGTATTGTTGAACATACATCGAGACGTTTAAAGATAGCTGGTATTTATATATATGAAAATGAAGAGAACGCGGTCACCCGATCTGATGTAGTGTTTTCTTAAGCAGTTTTATAAATCATGGTCGACTTGTTAAATTATGCATTTAAGAGTGCATCGCTAAGAGACTTTGATCAACGATTTTGATACTTTTAAGTAATCAGGTTGCAGTTTTTCGCATTATCTGCATAGTATGAAATGAAATCATCTGGTTGTATTCAAAATAAACATTTTGAACATGCTAATGTCAATCAATTCTTTATCACTTTCATCCACTAGTTGACATAGAACTGAATGCGATAATCAGTTTGCAAATGCTTAACAAATTACACTATTCACTTTGACGTTTCTTACGGTGTCATGACCAATCGAAGTACACTAATAGCAAAACGAGTAGTTAGAGATTTCGATAGCTATGTAAGTGATCTGAAAATCAGACGGCCATTTAGCTGGTTCGCGGCCGAGCCCATCAGTGGTGTACCCGGACAAATTTGGATCGCTGTACAGAATCTGGCTAGCTGACTTTGACGAACCAGTATGCGCCAATTAGGATGATAATTTGCAAATGATCTAGAGCACTTTGGTCTGGCTAGAGTAATCGAAAAAGTAACCCGAATAGTTTCTAACTACCTATTTTGTTTACTAGTATGCATCGAATTGAACAGTTTCACTCATAGTTAGATACTCACTGTTACACTAAACCTCTGTGGAAAGTCGGTACTATATCATCAGAAAAGTGGTATAGCAGTCAAAAAGCTAATCTAGAAGTCGTTGGAGAAGTTTAATTGACCACTAAGTAAACTCTTTTTCTTCACATTTATATGATACTGTAATTCTTGGTCCTGGTCCCTTGTGCTATTCGACCTTTGTGATTTCGTTGAGCAATGACTAGTAAGATATCTGTTCTATTCTAGCATATTTTTTATTCAGTGAGGGTTTTGGGTGGGCGTTTTCACCACTTAAGCTGAATAAATCCATAACAATACGGATGGGAAGTAGCGAGAATGAAAATCAACATGTTAAGCGATCAACCAAAGATGTGACACTCCTCCACCATTAGAAGTGTTATATTTTGTAAGATCAACCGATAGGAGTTAGTCAAAAGTTCCTCTGGTACATCTCTGTGTGCAGAAATGTTGAATATACGTTTACTGCACTTTTACCTAAAGCAATATTCTCTCATTCATAGGTTTCCGTTTACCGAGTAAAGTATCAGGCATTGGTTGAGGGTGGGGTGAGCAGTAATTGCAGAGGGGGGCAGTTCTTGAGAGTGATAGGTAATCACGTTCAAATCCTTTCAAACACCTTAGATTGATTTAACGACTGTTAACCATTCAACTGCATCAGTCTAGCATTTATTTTACCAGCATTCTTGTAAGTGACATCCTTGTTGCAAATATTCGTTATAGTAACAGTGAAATCAGTCATATCATTTTAGGACGGTAGTTTTTGTACAGCCCTATTTTTGTCCTGTCTTAACCATTATATCATGGCCATAGAAAAGTATTTTAACGGTGAAGAAGTGGAGAGTAAAATCACTTTAAAAATGTTTGTAAGAACCCTAAAAATATTTCTTCTGAATAGAATCAAGAATTCACTAACCTAGACATTCATGTTAAAAACAAGATTTTCAGATATTATCGTTATTCGTGCGCTGGACAAACAAATGTAAAGATTGCTTTCACCTTAAACTGTATTCCTGTAGCTTGAACATGGACAAGCAAACAAGTAGCATCACGAACACGAGTGTCAAAATCAAGCGTAGCTGGAGCGTATAGGGATAAATATTAAAAATCAGATGAGTGTGGATTTAAAAGGGATGTAGAATCGGCAATTTCGGATGATATAAGATGTAAATAACATTCCGTGGCTGATATGGATCCCAGGTCAAACCATCTGCTCTCTCTAATAATTTATTCGAACCATCTGCTGAACCCTATTCAGATACTTCAAACTTCCCTGTCGGACTCAGACCAATAATCACTGGCCTCATGACTTACCACTGTACCTTAGTCTGGACGTTTGATCTTATCCAACCTAATCCTCCTATAGCTGGGTCAGTGATTCAACAACTCCGAAAAACTTTCAGTTAGACAGCTTCGTTCTGGTTTACCGGCTATCAAACAGTGGTGCTTGCGGTACACATTCTAGCTTACTACTAGTTGACTGTGTTTATTTCATTCTAATCCACTTGGACTGGAATAGGAATGTGACTGAGTAGTATGTAGATTTGCGTTTTTCATGTATACATTTCCAGGCCTCAAATACACCACAAAAGCTGAGATGCAGAAATATCAGACGCAGCATGCAACTCAAAAGTGATCGTCGAAATTGTGTATACATGCATAGGCCAAGGAATTATCTCTGTTTCGTGAGTATTTAGTTAGTCAGCATGTAGTACTGAACTAAACAAAACACCAGAACTTACACAGGTTACCTTCAATTTGCAGTACATCTTACCTTCTATCTGCAATACGAAAGGTAATCGAGGCAAAATAAGCTTCTTATTATGACCGTCTTCTTTTCTGAAAAGATAAGTCTCTTTATCAACATACATTTTTTTAAACTGACCTCCTGATGATATTTGTAGAGCACCTGAACTACCGAAAATATTAAGAATCAGTTAATAAAATTCGCTAGTTTAGATTTTCTCACATATTTACCTATTATCTTCAAGGACACAAGATCTCTTCGTGGTAGGATTTCATCGGTTTTCAGTGCACTATCTCACTGATAATGCAATAACTATGATTAATCAGAGGTCACAACAAAAAAGTCAGTGATTTGGATAACACAACTGAAAATACCATTGACAAAATTTCCAGTATTAAGTTCAAGACGATATTAAGCATAGTGTGAATAAATGAAATTTTACGTTAGCCGTATGCAGATGGTTTTTGTCACTTGCGACATCAATAACAAGAAACAAGTACTCTCTTCACAAACTAAATGCGAAATGTAGCTTGATACTATGTTGTTTAGCAAGAGGATAACTCGTCAGTCTGCAAAAAGTATTTGTCTTTCATTTCAAAGAACAGAAAATATCCAGTATGGTATCCTTCGTCTTTCATACCTCCCTATCATATCGGATATAAGTCACTATCTAACAAGTGTCAAAAATCCCTCGAGAATCTCTTTACTTATAAGTTTAGAGATGTGCTTTGAAACGCTACAATAATCGAAGAAGCAAACAAGTCGAATTTCTTGATAAAATTCGTTTCGTCAAGCAAAACTTTACTACTGAGCTCAGCGTCATGTTTTCCAGAATCCTCGTCATGCTCAAGTACACTACAGGAAAGGAAACTGTCTAGATTTTCATTTAGATACCTTTGTATTCCTGTTTATTGCGCAAGCGACGTGCATTACATACACATACAGACCAGGGATAGTAGGCTAACTGTTTTTATGCCTTTGAGACACGTATTTTTATATGCAGCAGTCTGAATGGCAAGCATTAGTTACTCTCTATCCGTTTATGTGAGAATGTTCGCATGTTTTCTGTCTGTTCATATACACAATTTATTTTCCCAGCCTCTTACGATTTCACTCTTACTGGAAACTGCTATTTAATCCACCGAACTTGAAGAAACATACAATCACTAACTAGAATAAGTTTTATATTGACGGAAAGAATCACGAAAAAAAATGCATTACATATTAATCAATAAAGTGGAAGCAGTTCACAAGCTAACTGAGACAAAGCATGATGATAAATAAATCAGCACTGGAGGCTAAACAACATTGAAGACAGACACAAATGTTGTGTCGTACATTGACCGCATATATTTGTGAACGCATACGGATTTAAATCTACTTTTTCTGAATAGGTTTTTTAAAAATTCCCTATGTTAGACTTCTTATGCTCAGCATTTCAGAAGTATTGTGTTGATAGCATAAAAATCTAGTTAGTATTCGTTTAGATCATGATTTCACATCTCTATGCTCATGTATCGTTTCCCTTGCGTGGTATTTGGTAATAAATTTTTATGAAACCTGAAAACTTCCCGTTTGTAAATCTATATAGTATATAATAGATGGAATCAAAAAGGGCCTCATATCTTGATACATTTCGTGTCTAGATAAAACATCGAAATGGAATTGTTTAGGAGCTTGAAGTTTATTGGAAGAAGACCTCGCTTCACCTGGACTTCATGCTAAAAAGGTGTATCTGCGATCCTGAGAAGTGTTCATCATAAGCACTTATATCACTAGTTGCTCTGAGGAGCGAATATTTGATAGCGAGATTAAGAAGATCGGTACCTATTAAAAGCACTGTATAGTTTTTAAATGCTAACTATGGATTAAATTATTGTATCTTAGCCCATTATGCATACAATAACAAAAAAGAGCTAAGTAACACGGTAAACAAAAGTGTAAATGGAAACTGAAAGCGTCAGAATGCATAAAGTATCGTAATATGCGCAAATTCGATTGCAGGTTATGAGATCTAAAAATTGGCTGGATGTCTGTGGGAAAGATTTCAGTAAGCTGTCAAAAGCTGTTATGAGAACTGAAAATGATCGGTTTTGTATTCATGTACAAGTTGCGCAAACCATATGCTCAACTTCAGCTGAATCTACTGTTGAAACTATGGATGATGGGGAGTAGAGTTTCACGTGAAACCGAATCTGGACGATAGAACTGAAAGTAGCCTAGAACTACAGGGATTTGGTGGTGTTGAGCACTTAGAAACAATGTTTGCAAGGCTTTGTTTAATTCACTGAGGTGTTAAAGATATGTCTTGTATTGGTAAAAGCAAGCTGACGTATTAGAATGAGGTAAAGTCATTTGCCAACAAGCTGCGAAATAGTTCCAGAATAATCTGAACGTACCAGATAGGTTAAATATCACTGAATACTTATCAACTCGCCCAATTATTCTTTTATAAACGATACTTGAAAAGCTGTTTCAAACAATTTTCCTCGACAGAGAAGCGATTAAATTATTTAGCAGTCGTACAATTTTATTATAACCGGAAGAAATGCTCTTTCGATATCATTGTTTTCTGGAAATGAATACACTGATGAGTCTACTTTAGATGGCAGTTGTTTACTAAGCTGGCCTTTGTACTACGTGGTGATGACTGGAAGTGAAAAGCGAAACTACTCGGTAGCAAGTGAATTTGATTTCAATAGAATAGTTTCAAGACGCTCTGCTTTGACACATTTCATGTAGGCAGTGCTAGAAAAATGAATCTTTTAAATGAATTTGAAAATACCAGTCAGTAAATATTTATTAGCTGCCAAGCTCCCTGAAAGAAATGGTTCCGATGCTAACAGAGGTTAGGGACTTTAGCAATTTGACAAAGCTAAAGTGGGACGAAATCACACGATTGCAGTGAAAAAGAACTTTCCTTTTCGGCGAAATCATTCTTTTAGGTGAACGACAGAACATTCCAGAGTAATTCCTGGTCAAAAGTCAGTATAAGTGGCATCACGAAGGAAAATTACGTAATGGGGAAACAGCCGAAATGATAACAAGAAAAGAAACAAATGCGTCATATGTGGGTCACTTTGAGTGATTAATAATTTACTGTGGCCATGTCAAATAGAGTTTGTACATACTTCTTTTCAAAGCACAATGATGGTGTGAATTTTCGAGTCGCTAATGCTTCAGCTATATCCAGATATCTCAGCTTCATTCCTTTCAAGTGACTTGGTCTCACTTTGTACAGAATTTTGTAGGACTCATCAAAAGAAGTCAAATCTCCTGAGTTTACTGAGTGTTCTGTTACAGACCTGAGGATGCATTGCCGTTCTCCCCTTGTCAACCAAGTTGGACAGTGTTTGCGACAGCGTTGCATAAGCTGGAGCAAGGTACGGCTGATGTACTCGGCTCTACAGGGGCAAGTACACTGATATACACACATTGAAATGGCCTGTTACTTTGGCTTATCCTTTGTATGGTGATGAGTGAGTTTCTAACAGGAAAATGTGATTCTAAGATTGGCGACAAAGTATATTCTGTTTATAGACCTTGGTAGTCTCTTTCAGCGGTTTGCTTAAATATCTAGGCTACTGTATTTTCCATCTGGCATATTGCATCAATTTTTTCTGAGTTTGTTTGTTTTAATCATTTTGTTTTGTCCTGTGATCATACTATATATTCACCCACATTTTTAAAGAGTTTACGGCCTTTTGCGATGCTGTTATCAAATAACATGAGAAAAATGCATCACAGGGGATGGCAACATGCTTTGAAGAGAATAACCTTACCTCAAATGACTCTGTCTGAAATTATGAGCACGAACTTCAGGTCAATGCAGGAAAATGTGGATTACTTATGATCTCTTATGTCCACCAATGTGCACCGTAATGCTGAAGTAGTTATACCGCAAGAAGCTTGGTTAAATGAACTTTATGATAATAATTTGGTTTCTCCGAATAGTTTCAAAGTTTTCCGTCAGACTCGTTGTAGCTCTACTATGTACTTGGAAGTGGTGCATTGGTGCATTTCGGGTTACATATGCTTCAAATTCTCAAATGGTTACATAGATTGGATCATTTAAAGAAGTAACGCGTTGTTGATATCACAAATATGTGACGCCTGGTTGTAGTTACTCCAAATTATCCAGTTTCTCTGATATATTCACAGAATATACAGCCAGTATACCCTCTGGTTCCCTGCCGATAATATCTGGTGATTTCAATTCTTGTGACCAAGACATTCTCAAAACTCTTAATCATCAAAACCTTGTTAACTTAACAGTACATCACGATGTAACACTAGACTTGATATTCGTCAGTGACACTGATATATGTGAAAATCGAAAGTCCCCCACAGATCAGCTCAGATAATTGCAGAACACATGTTTTTCCCAAAATATATGAGAAACTAAACAATGTAGCCTTCACATATAAGAAATCTGTGCGTAGAAACTATACACATAGTAATTATTATTTTTTCCTTCGGTTCCTAGTGGAAGAGAGGGCTTCAGTAGCACGTCGACATTGCACTCTTCTCTATACAGTCTATTGAACCCGGATCCACCACTCCACCACTCCCCACAAACTTTCATTTCTACCTCACATCATCTCCTCCATGTCACCCTAAGCTGCAACAACCAACTCGTCGTTTCCCACTTGGCTTCCACTTAACGGACTGGCCTGGCCTGGCCTGGTCTGGAGCGTCATATCCCCAAATAGTCTCCTCAGTGTATGCCCAATCCAATCAATCTCAGCTTTCTTCTGCATATTTGTTGGGTGGCAGGTTCTTGGTTGTTTCGTTCCCAGTCAGAGCTCCTTATTGCTTATTCTCATCATGCTGGCCATCCATCTCATCTTCAGTGTCAGTAGCGATTGAGCGTAGGCACCAGCTGTTCATGTATGTCTGCAGTTTGTTGCAAGTGCTTTTCGTAACGCGTCAAGTCTCTCAACCATCACATAGAAACACTGACGACTCACCTGACTGACATTGGTGTTGGAGATCGGGGTCTTGTTCACGCTTTATACTGAGTGGAGTGGAGTGGAGTGGAGTAGATCTCCACACTGATTTCAGGTTAATGCAGGAAGGCCTGTCTTGCTGTCTTTCTGATCCTGACTGGCTTATTCATCTGTGCCGCCATCGCCACTGCCACCGCCATCGCAACCGCCGTAGTTGAAACAATTCTACCTAGGTGGATAGGTGAAAGAGATAACTTCCCTCACATTTCTCACGTTCATGATGATTGGTGCCTGTTGTTGTTGTTGGTGGTGGTGGTGGTGGTGTTTGTTGTTGTGGTTGGGTATCCTCATCACCTCTATCTTCTCTACGTTCGCCTGAAGGAAGTCCCGTATTCGCTACCTAGCCTCTTCTACCAACTTGTTAGTTTTCGCCTGTACATCTTCCAGTTTGTGCAACATTAGACAGTAGACATAAATCATCATCGTCGGGGACGAAATTCAAATCTTCTCGGGTCTTCTCATCGGTCCAGCCAGAGTATGCCGATCTTCTCGCTCCTCACAGTTTGCTGCATGATCCAGTCGAGTCGACCACAACCAGGAAGATGATCGGTGATATTAGGCGGCAACCTTGTCTCACTCCTTCCTGTCCTCACTTCAAAGGTGTCACTCACTGAGCTTTCCTTTGAGAATTACTTGGCATGTGATGTGCTCATATAGCTGTCGAATGAGGTTGATAAAGATTTGTGGAACTCCGTAGTGTCGAAGCAGCTGTCTGACAAATCACTTCTCGGTCGACGCTGTCGAAGGCCTTTTCAAAATCGATGGAGTTGAGGTAGAGAGTTGACTGCCATTCTATACTCTGTTCTATGATGATGTGCAGCGCAATGTTGTAATTTGATCCACACATGATTTGTTCTCCCTGAAGCCAGTCGGTTCCGGCCACAATTTCGAATCCAGATCATTTTCCTTTTAGTCTCTCCAGGATGATGCGGCATAGTATTTTGCTCGAGGTGGACGGGAGTGGAGCATGATTCCGCACCAGTTCTTGTATAGACTTAGGTCTCCCTTCTTTGGGAGTTTGACAAGATAGCCCTCCTTCCAATCTTCAGGTATCTTCACTCCCTTCCTTCCTTCTAAGCCTTCTGCTGTAGTGGTGTGAGCATGTTTGTTATTGTCTCTGCGTCTGTTTTCAGTGTTTCGGAAGGAATCACATCCGGTCATGCTGCATTCCCGTATTTCAGCAACTTTACAGCATTCTAGACTTCACTTCTGCTTTTGTCGGAGGGCTTGCGTTCATTGACAGTTCTGTGGCCGATCTGCTGGTGGTATTTCTGGATGAGTGGCAGGTGGTGGTCGAATCAAGAGTATTTTGAAGTGGTCAGTCCACCATTTCCTTTGTTTCTCCTCCCTCTTTGTTAACTAAGTTTCCTTCACCATCTTCCATTGGTTTCGTCTGCGTTGATCTCTTCCCCTCCCCCAGATAGTAACCTGGTTATTTGGTATAGTGTTGTCATTTCTGTGTCTCTCCTATCATCAGCCTGTTCTGCTTCACTTGCCAATGTGTCGTAGAAGTACGTTTTGTCTCTCCGTGCACTCTTCTTCACTTCTCTGCCCAGTATATTGTTTTATACGTCGTACTCAGTTCTTCATATCGTTGTTCATCCCTGCACTGCACTGCACTGGTTCATCTTCTCCCTCACCATCTTCCTCTCCCTCCTCGATCAGATTACATGTATCCGTCAAGATCCATACCTCGTCTTGTTCCCTCTTCCTTCACAATACGCGTATACAGGTTTCTTTACACATAGCTTTCAAAGAGTTCCAGTCTTCTTCCACGCCCCATCCCTCGGCGTTTTGCTCAGTGTCTCCCATTTCGTCCTGAAGGCTGACTGGTGTGAAGATGTCCTTCGCAGTTTCGTCCTTCACTTCACTTCACTTCAGTTCAGTTTCTGTTCTGGGTGTTGAACTTGAACGGTGGTCGTCTGTCACCAGCTTCTTTCAAGGCTTTCGACTTGATTTCGAAGGTAGGTTCCTTGCACCAGATAGTCAGTGGTGTGAACCACCTACATCTGCTCCCCCTCTTCATCTGATCTTGTGTCCAGTAGGCTGGCTGTGTCTCCACTTTCTTCACATTCACATGAAGTTGGTCTGATTTTTAGTGTCCATCTGGTGTCTGGTGAAATCAACTCCATGTCGCCACCTTGTGAATGTCCTTGTGCTTGAACA